GAGGATTCCACGTAGAGAGGTTTCACACGTGCTTGCGTCGCCGTGGAAAGTGGGTCACAGCTTCGGTCTTGTCCTCTCCCCCGTTGTCTTATCTTTGGAGGGGTGGGAGGGTGATATGGGTTCGCAGTACCGTGTCGTTGCACGAGGTCGAGAACTGTAACAAAGAAAGTGCGGCGTTTCGGTCGTATCATTTCTTGTATTGTGACAGGATGATACCCTTTTCTCTCTTTTTTTTCATGCCTTTGCGCAATCGTATTGTCTTCATGGTTCTCTTGCGAGCGTTTTTCTCGCCGGGGTACATGCGACAGCTGGCATTTCCAGAATCTTTGCGAAATGATTGGGTATCCCGCATTTTGTGGGGATACGGCCGAAACGGACTGCCATAAGTGCCATCGCCAATACTTCCCGCCGGTACTCGTCATTTAGCCGACCGCACGGCCAGTCCACAGTCAGCCGTTCCCCCATTTCTTTCCTTTGTCGATACCCACATTGCATAACGCATTCACGTGGAAAGGTTTTATCCTTGGGCTGGGATTCTCGGCTCGAACCTCTCGTGTGGTCGCTGGAATCCTGTGACCTTCCGTCGTCTCCCCTTGGGGCAAGTGACCCCATGGGAAGGCCCTTGCTTCCTTCACGACAGGAGTATTTTATGGCTCATTTGGTCGATGGGGTGTGATTTCAAGGTATGCAAGCGTTAAAGAAAAGTACCGTAATGGTGCCCTCAGTTAATGAGGGGACCACAGGAGACGATGTTGCCGAAGTGGTCAGCTTGTTTTTTTTTTTCCTCGGGAAGTTACCAGTGAAACCTGGTGAATTGGAGTCGCGCAGGGTATAGAATGACCCTAGCCGCGCCTCTCCTCCGATCGAGGCGGTAAAAATGTGGGTGTAGGGGAGAGGTAGAATCAGGGCTTGGATGGTGCCTGTCTGGAGCGCTCGTTGCAGGAGGGGGGGAGGACCTTATGCGAAGGTTTGGAGGGAAGGAGGGAGGGGAGGTGTGGAGTTCGTTATCGGTGGGTCGTTCTGGACGATGCAGGATACGTTGCGCATGGGGCGAAGTCGTGGTGGTGTTGCCGGAAGGTTACGTGTACTTGCAGAACTCGAGTGTTCGTTGAAAGTTGAATATTTATTTTTTACTTGGTTTGAATATGAATAATCATGAGCGTATAAGGTACTCCTGCTGCGTCATCCCGGGCGAAAGGTCTCTTCGAATTGTTGATTTTGGAGCCGAGAACTGAGGACACGCTTATAATGAATTTCAAGGTCACTTGCCACATTTTTCATTTTTTATTATTCCGCAGAGAGGTCGGATTCAGGCATCAGTTTTCATACTGGTACACCCCAGGTTTGCCATCTGCGTAGAATGACAACCGCCATTAATTTGTCGCAGAGTCGAAGTGGTAGTAAAGGCTTATACGAACGACTTGTTTCGTGAGCGCATGGTTACGTTACAGCCCGACTCGATTGCCATGTTGTGACACGGCCCACCTGTCTCTCTCGAAGACCTGTCCTGCGAAATTGTCCAGAGGCATCGAAGATGTAGACTTACTTGCTAAATCGACTTCGACCTGCAGCAGTCGAAGGAGCTGGAGGTCGGATGCGCTGATGCGTGGCGAAATGTTGCAATGTGAAATTTGGCAATGAGCTTTCTGGTAGAGGGATATTGACACTTTTGCTGATCTCTACCATCTATGCTTCAGAGAGTGGAGCCGAGATTCGATTTTATTTTTTCACACTAGCTTGAGCACGGACCGAAAGGATCGACTCGACGTGTCGAAATATTTCAGTCGAGTTGGCACTCCCGAAATGCAGTCACCCCCATCTCCGCCAATCCCCTATTTTTTTCCTTCTTGCTTTCCGCTTGAACGGAGATGGTGGTCTAGTTTATATAATGGAAGTTGGCAAAACCCGGGGCTGGGCTTCACTCAAGGTGTATAACGGGCGTTGCACTTTGTCCCCGGCCCCTCCGTGTTTCGACATTGTGCAACACCTTCCATTGCGAAAGGGTTCGTTGCTCTCTCTCTCTCTCTCTCTCTCTCTTTCCCTCTCTTTCCCTGTCTCTTTTCTTTCCGCTCCTCTCTATTCTCTTCTCTCCTCTCTCGGTTTTCCCCCTTATCTCTCTCAATCTGTCATGTACGGTGTAGCTGAACAATCATTACGGGAGGACCTTTGGAACTGTAATGTCATTTGCATGGGTGGTCTTTTTTTTCCCAGTGGAATTTTTTAACTCTGTGAACGGCATGGCAAAACCTGCGCACTGAATGGCGTGAAATCGAAATAAAAGTTAAGCATGACTTCAAGTGAATCTTACTCCAAAAATTTGGGAATGTTTTTGCCTTGGGTGTTACATGTAATTGTCCGATATTGCGCATGCGTTCGAATTCGAGCAAACCCTCTGCGAAGACCCGTGAAAAACCGGCGCGCTCTTCGTGAAATGAGCAGTTTTTCTGGACCTGTATTCTGTAGCTGATTAAGAGGAAGACGATGGAAAATTTGTTACAATAATTGTAGAAAATACGACTCGCAAACTTTGAATTCAATCATTCCATTCAATAGTTTAGCCGCTCACAATGGATCTGTGATTGGATTAAAATAATATGATTCGTTCCATTTCCTGCATTGATTTTAGCTGGCGTGCAGAATGTGGGGATTATTTATGTGTGCGAATCAATTCAAATTTTATAAGTTAATTGGTTGATTTGGCGGTGGAAAATTGTCTGCTTTGACCGATTGCCCAACACTGCCTCGTGATGCTTCCTTTGAGAAGCCGCTTTTTCCGAGGAGAGGTTTTACGTCTGACTCGTTCGGGCTTCCTGTAGTTTGTCGCGATATTCCTACTCTTTTTCGATTCCGCCCGTGCCTTTGAGAAGTTTTGCAGTCGTTAATTGGGGGTGTTGGACTTGGGAAATCGCATCCCCTGGGAAGGAAAAAAAAATGAGTCTCGCCTCGCGTTTCTGCCTCGGATTGGCCTTAATTGTGGGATAATCAGCGGCTATTAGTCGTGGCAGGTGATTGAATGGAGCCCGGCCGAGGACGGGAAAGTCGGGGAGGAGAGCCTTCGGCGGTCGCTGCTTGACATCGCGAGAACTGTGTCAGTCGAGGCGGGAATTGGGAACTCGTTCACTCGGGGGAGGAGAGGAGAGGGCACCGATCGGAAATTACTTTTTGGGGTTTCGGAGAACCTGGGGAGTCGAGGCGCTTTGCAGGATGTTCTACACACGATTTGGTTTTCCCACGTTCGGTGAACCCGTTGATGGAAGGGTGATGATGCCGGACATGGGAGCGGCCTCGTGGGACTTAATTTACTTCCAGGTGCAAAGTGCGTCGCGTCCGTTTCGAGGGAATCTCGTCATCCTGGGAGATGTGCACCGAAGGACGCGATGAAGAGCATTCATGCGGTGGCCTCATTCTGTGCGTCTCGGCCGGGACGAATGCTTCCGAGGGTTTCCCACGTTATTTTGCCGGAGTCGTAGGCGTACGCGAGGCGGTAGCTCCACTCGCGTGCGAGGGTATGAGCCTCGAGAACGGACGACCTGCTTAGCGATAACCGGGTGGAAGCCGGTCAAGGGCTGAGATTTAAGGGGAAAGTGTTCGTTTGGAAAGGGCAGTGAACCCTTTTGCAATCCCTCTCGGGTCTTGCACAACTTTCGTTCACGGGACTCCTGCCCGGTTCTTCAAGGCTGTGCGCTCTCGAGGCCCTCCATCCTCGAAGGTATAATTCCTTCTCGGCTGGCATTTTTCTCGGTGCGCGGGGCGGTATATATTAGGGGGGGAGGGAGGGGGATATAAATTTTTGACCGGGCTTCTTTCTCGTCGGCTCTCGGAAGACGTGTGCTAAGAGTTCGGATGAGATTCGTTCTGCAGGTCTTCTCTCGGTCTCTCTTCGGTCGGATCCCCGTGCGACACCTCGTCTCCTTTCGTGACGAGACCGTGGAGGGGCCGTGGAAGTAAACCCTAGCTTCTCGTGCGAAGAAGCACTTTGAATCCTTGCGAAAGGGGCCTTTCCTCCCGTGCGAGTGACCTCCCGTTTCGAAATGGCTTCTCTGCTGCACGCCAGGGTCGAGTGTGTGTCGAGCGGTACTCTCGGTCCTCTCGACCCGTCGAGATGATGGAAGACGCTTTTCCCCTTCCAAAATTATTTAGGGAGGAGGGGAGGATTCCCGAGTGGAAGATGGGAGGCGGTGTCGGATGGGACGGAGTGGAGGCCGAAGGGAAAGCTCGGCTGCTTGCGGAACACGTAGCGAAGGTCTCTTTGCTTACAATGTAGAGAGGTACCCAGAGACCTTTGGGTGACGCGGGCCCCTTTCTTATCGGGAACAAGTTGCGTTGCAGCACCCGGTTGAAGCCGAGGATTTATTCCCCCCCTCACCCCCTCCCCCCTCTTTTACTTTAATGGCTACGGAGAGCGGAGGCGCAGGACCCCGAAAGGGAAGGATGAGTACGGTTGCGATTCCCTACGGGCGGTAATTTTCGCGAAACTCTGGCTGTATAACTGTACGCAAGCAAATGCCGTCTACAAGCAGACTGAGTTTTCGTGTTTTAGTGTATTGTACAAGCCGTGGATGAGTTGTAAAAAATTTTATAAATCGATAGGGAGCGCCAAAATCCCGAAAATTAACGTTTCGCGAAATTTTTTTCTCCTTTTTTTCCCCCCCTCGTTTTTTTTTCGCAGTTCATGGCTGTACTTTCCACTGCGCGAACACGAGAGTGGATGACCATTGACCACACCCCTTTTTCCCCTCCCGATTGTTCCATCAGAGAGAGATACTCATCCACGAGTACGGTCCCCCATGGAAAGTTGACTCCCGCCTTCCCAATAAAGCCGGCTTCGTTCGGTGTGGATCCTGTTTGCAGAGCCGCATCCCGTGGGTATTTGCTTGCCCTACATGGTGCCTGTGGGCTTACTTCAGAATGAGGAAGAGGGGGGGGGGGGGGGGGGGAAAGGGGGT